CTAATTCCCGGTCCGTATTCCCCTGGCAATGACATTGACATATATTTGTAGCCACTTATCAAGGACTTGAAGGATTTGTGGGAGTTTGGGTTGGAAACTTATGATGCTTCGACTAATCAAAGGTTTGACATGCATGTAGCATTGATGACTACCGTGAGTGATTTTTCGGGTTATGCAATGTTGTCTGGGTGGAGCACAAAAGGATACTTGGCATGCCCTGAATGTCATTACGAAACAGATTCCAAGTGGTTGCCTTGTAGTGGTAAGAATGTGTATAGGTCAAATCGTAAATTTTTGGATCCATCTCACCCTTGGCGTCATGATAAGAGGAATTTTGACGGAGAACTTGAGGAAAGATGTCAACCTATTCCATTGAATGGAATTGATATTGAGAATATGTTGCGTGATTTTCCAAATGCATTTGGAAAGAAGCAAAAGAAACCAAGGCGTGATGTGGATGATCCGACTCCTTGGAGAAAGAAACCCATATTTTTTGAGTTGCCATATTGGAAGCATTGCTCTAATGGCCATAATCTTGATGTAATGCATATTGAGAAAAATGTCTTTGATAATGTCATTGCGACGTTATTAGACATTTCTCAGAAGACCAAGGATAATGTGAGTGCTTGTCGAGATTTGGTAGAACTTAATCTGATGCCAGAGCTCCAACCAACAGAATTGGAAGAGGGTAGTGAAGAATTTCCAAGATCTCGCTTTTGGATGTCATTGGAGCAAAACCGTAAGTTCTTCCAGGTTATAAAAAATGCTAAGCTTCCTCAAGGTTATGCTTCCAACCTTAGTCGTTGTGTGCAAGTTGGAGAAAGGAAAATAGCAGGCTACAAAAGCCATGATGCTCATTTTATGATGAATTATCTTCTTCCAATTGCTGTGAAGACAAAATTACCCAAAGATGTTCTAGTCCTTTGATAAGACTTTGTGCTTTTTTCAAAGGTATATGGAGTAAAACTATTGATCCTTGAGGTCTTGGAAAATTGCAATCCGAGATAGTTGAAACTCTATGCCTACTTGAGAGGATTTTTCCACCTGCTTTTTTTGATATAATGGAACATTTACCCATACACTTAGTAGACCAAATTAGGTTGGGTGGACCTGTGAGTTCAAGGTGTATGTATAGAATTGAGAGGAATCTTCATGAAATGAAACAAGATGTTCGAAACAAGGCTCGGCCGAAGGCTCAATGGCAGAAGGATACCAAGCTAAAGAATGTGTTGCTTTCATAGCTAGATTTTTGAAACGATCAAGCAAAGCCACACCCGAAGTTAATGAGTGTGGTACCTCAAAATCATTTTTCCCTAAGGTAGGACTTCCTATTAAAGGGAAAGGAAGGACCTCAAAGGAAAAAAAATCGTGGACACATACTTGATCGCATTACATCGGCATAAGCGCATCATTATGTCTTGTTCAATTGTGATTGTGAGGAAGTTGAGAAATATATAAGGTAAGATTTGTAACCATAATATAGGTTTATTATTATTAATATTATTTTTTAAATGTCTTCATTCTAACTCTGGCGCCTTAGTAAGATAAATATTTTATTTTTACAGTGAGCGCAAGATTTGTGTAAGTGCTAAAAGGAAAAGAAAATGGAATAGTGCTCAAGACCATAGTAAGGATTTCATGGATTGGTTTAGGGATAAAGTTGATTTGATTCTTAAAATGGCCATGATAATATCCAGGACCATATTTTGTGGTTATCAAAAGGTCCCTCTCACGTTGCCAAAAAGCACACAGGGTACTCAGTTAACGATTATAGGTTTCATACCATGAAGCGAGATGCAAACTGCATAACTCAAAACAATGGTGTCACTCTTACAGCCACTACACATAGCTTTGCAAGCTCCAAAGATCAAAATCCTGTTGTGGAAAATGTTAATTATTATGGTTCAATAACTGAAATCATTGAGATATCCTATCATGGTCATTTCAGTGTTGTCTTTAGATGTCAATGGTTTCACTCAGAAAAGGATGATGATGAGCTCATTACGGTTAATATGAATAAGACCGTTTCTAAAGAGGAACCTTTTATCTTAGCAAATCAAGCACATCAAGTGTTTTATGTAGAAGATTTGAATAGAGAAGGGTGGCATTATGCTATTCAAATCCCTCCTAGAGAGGTTTCAGATGGTATTGACATACATTTTTTTAATACTTCACTATATGTTATAAATGAGCTTATTTTACATTGCAATTCGTTTCAGTTTATTGTATTTACATACAAAATTAACATACTTCCATTTTTTTTTCCAGATGAAAAGGAGTAGACCCAAAGTTTCTGCTTCCAAAAATCAGCTTACAGAATATGAGCGGCAACGGCTTCAAAAACTAAAATTCAATGCAGAAAGAATGGAAGCCCTAGGATCGGCATCTGTTGCTAATAAGATACTTGAAGAAAAAACAAATGTCTTATTTTGTCCAAGTGCAATGCAGAATTGTACACCAGAAAATGAGGATGATGACTCTACGTCAGAATATGATGGGAAAAATGAGGTTGAAACTGATAACATTATGGCTGACAATCTCACTTCTGGAAAAAGAAAAGCCAGTAAATAGCTGTTCACTTCTATTTTGTCATTTATACAAACTGTTTTTATTGTTTATCATGGTTTACATGTAATTAGTAATGCTTTATCTTCCTTTTGATTTATAGGTTTCAAAGCAAGTAAATAAATCATCACTTTGCCCCAAAACTATGGCTGATGTTGTGGAAGTGAATAGCCGTAAGAAGCATGCAGTTGATGAAGTTCAGATAATTCACTCACTTAAGGTTGCTAGAGTTCAAGATCAATGCATCCAAAAGAAGCAGCAAGTTATCTCAGAAAAGAAGGGATCAAAACGAGCGTTCTGTTCTCCTGGTTCCATGTCAGCGTACCTCGAGTTCCGAAAAAAGCAAAAAGAAAATAATGAAGCATTTATAGCAAGTAATTAGTCTTTGAATGATTCTCTTACAAGAAACGCAAGGATTTGTGGCGCTGCATTTAATGAGAATGACAATGATGAAGCGGATGCACTAAGTAAGAATGATGAAGCGGATGCACTAAATGAGAATGATGATGATGTTGGTAATGAATATGAGGGTGATCAAGAATTAGAAGATGAAGTTCTATCTCAGTATGGAAGGGAAGGAATGCAAGGTATTGTTTTTCTCTTATTTCCTCCCCAGCTACCTCTCCTTCTTGTTCAGTCCCTTAGCTGTTTTTCCTTTCTTTTTTCCTCCTGTTTTATGTGTTTTTCATCTACATGGGGATTTTTTTTTGAATTTTCCGCTAAAGGTTTGGTTATTTGGCTGCCCCTGAATTGAATTTGTGTTATCTGAATTTTGGTTAATTGACTAATGAGATGATTTCAAGTTTGTTCGAATTATCAAAATGGATTTAATTAATAATTGATCATATTATTCATTAGTAGTGTTGGAAGATCATTCGATATTGTGCATTAAAAAGGAATTTACGTGTGGAGATGGCCGAGAGGATTGCAATTTATGGGATATCAGGAAACTTGATTAGCTATTTAACGAGGAAGTTGGGGCAGTCAACAGCAATGGCGGCTTGATGCTTGGGGGTGGAATAGTTGCGTTACTTCCAATTTTAAGGGCTATTATTGCTGATTTTTTTGTTGGAAAATATTATATGCTATTATTGTTGCCTCTTTCATTTACATCTTGGTTAGTTCTCTCACTTTATTTCTCTGTCATACATTTGGAGGTTTTATAAAACTTCAATATAAGCTTTTAGTTTCCTCTATGTGCTTTAAATCTTGATGGGTATTTATGAAACAGAACAAAAATTGTAGGAATCTAAATAGGAACATAAGGGAATTGAATTTATATTTATGAGGAATAAGACTGTAAAATGATTGATAAATTTACAACTCTCTATATATATTTTTTTAATTATTTCCTTTAGTTTACTATATAGTAGTATTTATCTCATGAATGGCTTATCAGGGGCTGGGTTTGATGACTTTATCAGCAATGCTACCATCTTTTAATTGTCATGACCCAGAAACAGATAGCAAGGGCACTCCTGGATGTACCCAACACTCACAGATAATACTATTTTTTGTTACCCTTTATTTGGTGGTTGTTGGGCAAGCTGGGCACAAGCCTTGTGTTCCGGTTTTTTTATTTCTATTTCCTTGTGCATTTATGTGTCCAAGAACCTCCTCATTCAGTTTGCATTTTCGTTATTATAGTACTTAGTTGATGTATTTGCAACCTCTATCTTATAACATGTTTCTTACAAATGTATACACAGAAACAGAACCTGAAAAAGCTCCTAACAGAAAAAGGCATCGAGGTCCAACAATGCAACCCAAGGTTCATGCACGAACAAGAGACGAGTGTTAAGTTATTGTTTTAAACTCACTGGGCCAACCAGTTGGACCTACACGGGAAATTGTTCAGGAGTTCAAGCAATTCTTGGGTACTGTGGCTAGGGATTCTGAACTTGCACCACTAAATTATATTAACTTTCCAAGTCTACCCACACTTGGCAAAATGTGGGAGTATGTCCAAGTACGTAGTAATATAATTCATTTTGTTGGATTTCATTTTCTACATAATTAATTCCTCGTTAATACTTGGACCTCCATATGCTACATGTTACATACTAATGTTTTATTTTCATGATTTGTTTAGGAAAAGTATATGGTTCCTGAAGCTGGAAGAGAATGGGTGATGCAGGCTATCAATGGAAGCTGGAAAGCTCATAAATGCTTTACTAAGAATAACTACTTCTCTGCATATCCCATTGATGCTTTAAGATGGTTTCATAAGCCAGACACAATTTTAGAACCTCAATTTAGAGAGCTTTTGCAATATTGGCATTCTAAAGTGGCTGAGGTATTATGTATATGGTTTTGAACTGTTTTTGTGCAATATTAACATAGTTTCATGACCAAAAAAGTCACTTTTACTATTTTTATAATCGCCTTTGTTATCATGATCGCCTTTGTTTTCAGGAGCTGTTTTTAATATAATCATGTTAATTTCTTTGATTAAGAACGTGAAGTTACTCTATGACGCATGTATTCCATACTGGACCACCTCAGCTTTCATTGAATTGGTATTTGAAGAGACACTTTGATTGTTTCCTTGCATGCATGAGAGGATATCTTCTCAACAATGTTTTTTAGAGTTTCTTTTACATGATTTTTGCTATCATCTTTCCTATTGTATTGATATTAGAAAGTAGATACTTATTCGATATTTTACGTGGTTCAAAACTATAAATCTTGATTGTGTTTTCACATAGGAATTCAGTAAGATCAACAAAGACAATCGCCTAATGTTAGATGATATGCACACTATGGGCCGTAACTCTTACGCAATTTTACGCCATAAGTTGGTAAATAATTCATCTCATTTCTAGGCAATTTTATTATTTTTATAATCTTTATTTTACAATCACTACATGAGGCTTTCACCCTTGTCCTTTAATTATTTGTAATAATCACTTCAATTTTATGTGTTTATGTTTCCACAGCAACAAGAGGATCCTGATAAGCAAGAACCTTCTCAAGCAAGGGTCTATAAGGAGTCAAGAAAGAGAACGGTGGGAAGGAAATACCTTACCAACCATGAAAAAATAGAAGAGAATATTGTGAGTTAACATTTTAGCTGTATGATATATTTGTTTAATTTTGATAAATAATAAGTAGGTGGCTTTATTTTCCTTAAATAGGCTAAAATGGATGCTTTGGAGTCTTCCCAACATGAAGATGGTAGTAACTCTAAGGACCCTTACTCCGAAGTGATTCCAGATCCTAAGCGCAAAAGCCGTGTACGCCTACAAGGAAAAGGTGTAAAAAAGTCAGATTTGAAGAAAAAAGATAAAAAGTCAGATTTCGTATTCCCGACAGGATTTTTAGAAAGTATGCAATCTCAATTAGTACAACAACTTGCACCAAGCATAACAACTGCAATTTTGACTCAACTTCGGGATGCTAACCCTCGGATCAATTTTGTCTTTCCTGATTTTGCAATTCCATCGGCTCCAAAGGATGCATCTAGTGCGCCACATCTTCTTGTTTGACCAAAATGGGCAATCTTCTAAATCTGGTGCCACAATTAATCAGGTCACATAAAAATTTTCTATTCCTTCTATCTAGCTTTTGTTGTTTGCTATTGACCTGTACCTACTGTTGAAATGTTGCTGCTGTTGATGTCTTTTTCTGATGCCCACTGTTGCTTTATTGCTTTTTTTTTCTTTATATGGTTGATGCTTTAGTTGTTTGTTGCTGCTTTTTATTGTTGTATGTTGTTGTTGTTGAGTTCATGCTTTTAATAGCCTGCTGTATCTCTAAATTATCAATCAGTAAGGACATGATTCTTGAGTTAGATCTTGGAACTGCTGTATAGGTGACACAGAATTCAGTTTATCTTGGAAAAACTATAGGGGAAGATACCCCTGAATAGAAGATTACTACTGGTGAAATTTGTGTGTTGTCGAAATAGTAAAATTGATATGTTCCTTACTACTTGTGTAGTTGTGTGTAGGCTGATACACAATCGGGTGGATTAAATCAGAATTAGATGGGCCATGTTAATCAGTTTTTGCTTCATTGATTAGTTACTACTCGTACTTTGCTAACTCCTTGTGTTATTGAAAATATACGGAGTACGAACTTGACCATATTTATAATATACTCTTTTAAATCCCTGTGTCCAAAAGAGATAAAGGGTTGTATTTTTAGGGACAGAGGGGAAGGAGAACCCATTGAAGCTCTGAGGCAGCTTAACATTACTCCAGTCATGGGTGGGAACATAGGGGAATTGCTGGGAGCCGTGACAGTCAGCACCCCACAACTTAAATGAAACTTTTGGTCCCCTAGAATACTTTTCTAGTTCAGAGCCTGACTTCAATTCTTGTTAAATTAGTTTTACTTGTTAAATCTTGCAGTAATTTAGTTTATGAAGGCAATATAGACAATGTGAATGTGATAGCTCTCTTTAGAGAGGATGTTGGGATGTTACTCTTTTTTTTGTTAACATGTGTTTCGTTACAGCTGGTACCCTTTTCCATCCCCATATTTCTAATTTTTGGTTGCATTTTACTGAAATTTATGATTATAGTTGATCTATTTGGAGATTTATTTGATTGTGTTAGAGTTGGTTCAATGAGTTTTTATTTCTTGCTCTAATATTGTCGAAGTTTATTGTATAGCTGAATTTATATATTAGGGGGATGGTTTGTTACTTATGGGATGTTGTGATTTGCTATCAATATAGAAGATATTTTTTTTTTTTTTTTTTTTTGACAAGAGCAAATGTATTCATAAAATCAGAGTTTACAATCTACAAAACAAGGACTTAAACTTAAAATATGGCTTTTAACACTAAAGCCTTTACAACAACTTTTTAGACTAGAGACGAAAGTAAACTTGAATTGGCCGGATAAGTCGCAGATTAGGGACTTCTTACAAACCAAGGAGCAAAAACATCCTACACTCCAAGAAGAGAGCAACGGAGGGAATCGAAACTGTTTGACCATGGCTAGCACTTCCTTACCAGGCGGAATCAACTCATCACCAAGTAAGGTCATCAAACGGGTCACTTGAACTAGTGACCTCCCAATCAATAGCTTTCCTTGTTGGCAAGAAAGCTTTGACAACGTTGAGGCTCGAGAAACCCCAAAACAAAGTTTGGGCGCTTGCTTCAGATAATAAAGATCAGGAATAATGACCAAAAAAATCATTACATCCGAGGGAAGAGAAACCAAACCCATACCACTCCAACAACTTACACATTTCACCTTAGCCATAGCCAACTTCTTGTTCAAACCCCAACAACTGCACCTGTAACCTCTCTTACCACTGTAAACACCCCACTGTCCTTAACAAAGGGGCTTAACTCCCACTGCACACAACCATCCAAAATACTATAGCCAAAACAACTAAATAGCCGGAAAACAACCAAAGGGGGCTAAAACATACCATAACAAAAACTAAGGCAAGTAAACTCTGATAATTACTAAGAACAAACATACTAAGAAAGGGAACAAACTCAAGGAATGCACCGTCTAACCCGACAACCCGAAACCACTTACACTAGGAACCTCAAAACCATAGCCCTAACTTCACCGTTTTCGTCACTTACTACTCTTGACGGCGGCGTTAGACCTAGCCCTTCAGTGCAAGGACCCACGAAACCCTAACCCTAACTTTACCATTTCCGTCATGGTCAAAAATACCGATGACCTTTATGACAGCGGCGTTAGGCCTAGTCTTTAGACCTTGTTTCACCGACGGGGAGACCCTTTGAATAAACACAAACCTTCCACACAAAGGTGGGCAATGGCGACAGAGGAGGACGATCTACACACTCCCCTCATAACCTTCAAAATTTAGACAAGGTTCTCACCAGCACCTCCAACAGATTGAAATCCCCAAGATGAAAGAGGACCCCGATCCCCAAAACAACTACGAAGTCACCGCCACCCTCACCGCGAAACCTTAAATTCGACGAAAATTGGCCGGCCGCACCCCTTGACCACCAAAACTCGTCAGCCAGCCTTTTAAAAGGCCAACTAACCTAGCCCTGACTCCCGTAACCGCCTACCCAGCCACCCCGATCCCAAAAACCACCAACAAGTCCGACGAGCGCGCACGGTGACTTTAGGTGGTTTTGGGGGTCAAGGTTGGCTGGGTTGGTGGTTTTGGAGGTCGGGGATGGGTTAAAGGTGGTGTACAGATCCAGCCGTTCGGTTTCGATGGGTAAGAGGGGTGGTTGGTCGGTTTCCGGTGAGGCTAGGGGTGAGGTTAGGGTTTGACGGTGGGGATAGGTGGCGGGAATTTTTTTTTTTTTTAAATTTATTATTTTAAAATATAATTTAAATAATTTTTAATAAAAAAAAAATCAAATTAGCCATAAACCTAAAAAAGGTCACTATGGTTAATTTTTCTAAACCTTGGTGCCACTTAAAAGAGTTGGATAAGAGTTCGTCTTCCACGTAGAAAAGTTGAATTCATGAGACCGCCATGTAGAATTTCCCTAATAATTTAAGTACTAGATTTGACTTGTGACCGATCATACAAGTCATTAATTGACTTATACTACAATTAACTCTCAATTAAATAAGAATTGACTTAATTAAAAATAAAATATATCTTAATATTAATTTTAAATATAAAAAATTATTTTTATTTTTAACTATGATAAATTTTAAAAAGATTGGGGTGTCGGGGTTGGTGTAGAGGGTTGGGTGGTCATAGGTTAGTGCCGACTAGGGTGGGTGGGAGTTGTGTGGGTTCGATCGATCGGCTAGGTTAGGGATAGGTGAGAGTTCGCCACATAATTGGGGTTTGAGAGTAAGAGTTGGGGTTTGGGTGGGAGTTCGTCAAATAAGTGGGGTTCGAGAGTTAGAATTAGGGTTTGGGTGGGTGTTTGATGGACTGGTTGGGACACTAGGGTGTAAAGTCAAAATGTATCTAATAAAAGGAACAGATGAAGTATTAGAGTAACTTCAATGGTAAGCTAATTAGCAAATTAGTTTTTTTGGCCACATAAGATTTTAAAGCTAATTTTTTTTGTAGCTAATTTGTGCCTTGGCTACTAGCTTGTGGTGTTTGCCACAGAGTAGAATAATGGATTTTGGAGTAAGTGCAATTATTTTATGGTTTTGTCTCACTCTCTTTGTAGTATGGGTGACTGGTGGGAACATTGTTTGGGTAATTTTGGAGAGGATATGATGACTTTAATTACCATGTGTTGGGCTATGTGGGGCGCAAGGAACAAATGGATGATTGAGGGTGAAAATCCGAATGTTGAGCAAATTGTTGCCTATGATTTGAAGATTAAAGGTGGGAAAGTTGAATAACATGGGGAATGGAGGGGTGGAAAGAGTGTCTCTGTGGGCAGGTCTCCTCCGGCATCTGCTGTGGTTAAAATTATTATTGATGCTGGTGTTTTGGGGGAGGTGGGGATGGGGTTGGGTGCAGTCTGCAGGAATAGTGAGGGGGTGGTGCTTTGGGGAGCTACGGTGTAGTGGAGTGAAAAATGAGAGACTAAGATTGCAGAGGTGAAAGCGGTATTTTAGGGCATGAAGATTGCGAGACATACACAAGGGTATGAGCTGCATTAGGATCGAGAGTGATAATCTGGTGGTGATTGAGGCAATGAGGAAGCGTTTGTATGACTCCAGTTCCTTTCATCTGATTATAAAGGATATTCTAGATTAATTTTTTGTCTAATTTTACTAGTGATTTATGGTCTTTTGTAAGGCAATGGGGTAATAATGTAGCACATAAAGACTTACTTTCAACCATGTGAGTTTGGCCAATGGGTGTGGAGTGATGTAATCCCTCCTTGCATTTTGGAAATTTCTTCAGTTGATCTAGATGGGTTTAAGTAAAGTTGTCACTTCTAAAGTTATTAACTAATAATTTTCTGTTTTACACAGATCAATTTCCAACTCATATAATTAACTAACTCATACAATTTTACACTTGCTAATCTGCAACTGTATTTATAATAAAATGTAAGTGACCGTCAGCTAATGCTAAAACCGCACAGGTAACACTACCTATACAATTGCATAGTTCACACTTCACACGACACAATTAATTTGTCATAATGGCCACGACAAAAGAGTCATCCTAACCACATTTTTTTTAGGAAAACTCATCCTAACCACATTTAAGACATGATAACATGTAATTCACTTATGTTACCATACTTTCCTTTTGTTTGTTGTAAACTCAGTTTAATTAATGTAATTTCAGCCGTTTTCAAAATTAAAAAAACAAAAAAAACTTACAAACAAATTATACAAGCTTTGGTGTGTGAAGATAGTATTTGAGAAATGAAAGCGTTAAGATAAACTAATACTCCGTACTTTTTAAAACAGATTTACTCTAAATCCTTAAAAATTCTGCCCATCCCCTTAATTGGACCATCGTATAAAGACTCAGCCATTTATTTATTAGACGGATCTAACCCATTAATAATTGTGGCGGGTCATGGGTCATGGCTTTTAATAGGGATCCAAGGCGTCCAACACTCCAACCCATTGAATTGCTCTGTTGAAGCGCATTCAACGTTCTCCATTGAAGCGCAGTTGCCGTTCTCCGTTGAATCTAGTTCTTGTATCTCCCATTGAAGCAGCTTCTGAGGTAAGTTGTTTGTATTTGTTATCATCATATCAAATATCCCTAAAATTATGAGATAATTGAATCAAATTTGGTTGCTAATGTATTGCACAACACTTTAATGTTAGCATTCAACTAAGTAATTTGTATGTTTGGATAAAAAAACAGGTGGGATTTCATTGAAGATGGGAATAAGTTGTATAAAGACATGGACCGACTCGTTGCATACGAAAAGGGATTGAAGACATGGACTAGATGGGTAGACTTACATTTGAGCTCTTCAGATATCAGGGTGTTTTTTCAAGGAGTCTCCCCTGATCATATGAAGTAAGACAATTTCTCTTGCAAACTCAGCTTTTATTAGACTTTCTATCTAACTATTGAATTACGCAACATATACCTTTATACATGTTGATCATAGTTGTATTGTATGTGTTGCAGTGCCCTTAACTGGACAGCTCCAAATGCAAGAACATGTATAGGAGTAAAGCGACCGTTACTCGGAGCAACAAACAATGGAGTAGTTGAAGAACACCCAGCAGACAGGATAGTAGAAAAGGTGATTAAGAAAATGGAAAAGCCAGTAGAATTGTTAAGAGTAACACCACTTTCTCAATTAAGAAGAGATGGACATCCTGGAGTTTACGGAATTCGTAGACATAGACTTCCTGATTGTAGTCATTGGTGTCTTCCTGGTGTGCCTGATACTTGGAATCATCTCCTTTATGCTTCCCTTTATTTTTCCACTTCTTGATTTACGTTGTTGCTGCCGGGATCAAACCCGGCTTTATTATTCATTGTATTTCTTAAATTAACAAAACTGTTCAAGGAGTTAATTAGATTGTTTTTATTATTTGTAAACTCAACAATGAGATAGATTAAAAATAATTACGCCGTTGCCAGGGATCGAGACCAGGTCACCCGCGTGACAAGCGGGAATACTTACCACTATACTACAACGACATTGTTGTAAGGAAGCAGTAGGTTTTGCTTATATAACCAATATAACATAATTACAATTAAATTGGAACCTTGTTATAATCAATACAATCTTCTGTTAAAATAATAAATACTCTGTAAAAAAGAATATTAATACAATCTTATAATAATGTGATCTCTGTACTTTAAGTTGTTAACATACGTTTTTTTTTTCCTTTTTAAAATGTGCATTATGAGCTTACCGAGTTACTGTAGATGATATTTGGTTTCACAGACTTGCTAAAGCCTAAGAACCAAGATCTCATATATTTATTCAAAAAAAAAAGTGCCCATATTATTTAGATTATTAGTTCTCACAGCCATGTTGCTCGATCAAACTTGTCGCGCTAATGCTTAGCAAAAGCTTCAAAGCCATGGACAAGACAAACAGCCAAGCAACATGCTCAGGAAAATATAGAACAGTGGCTTAGTGCACACGTATTTAGAAGAGAAGAGATTATGCTTGGATACACATCTTGTGGTTCAATCTGCTAGATAGAAAGATGTATACTTTGAATTTTATGAACTGTTACCTTACAGTACATAATTTTACATAAAAATTAGTGATTAATTAATAATTGTATTTCAGGCGTTCTGGCTCAGAATCAGGCTCTGTATTGTTCACCTTATTTCCACTTATTTCAGGCTTAATAAGTTAAGATAAAATAAGTTCAGGAAAAATAAGTTCAGATAAATTGTGATAAGGGTTAATCAGGACTACCAAGTTTAATTGATAACTAAAATAAGTTCAAATAGATTCAGATAAGTAAAAAACAGGTGAATAGAATGCACCCTCAATGCAAATAAACATCCTATATTACAATATATCAATTATTCAATTCATACAATTTTACATTTCACAAAAAATATTTATCTAATTTCAATTGGTGCCTGATTATTAGCAAAAGGTCAATATGGACTATTGTTTTCCTTTTGATCTTCGGCCAAAAAAAAGTCTCAAAGGTACAAGTGCAGGTACTTCCAGTATACTTACTGTGACTCAATGAGAAATCTCAATAGTTTCTAACAATAAATTGTATACATAAAATGAACATGGACTGCATCAGGAAACAGAGTTATGAGACAGAGTTTAATATTACCACTGATTTGTACTTTTGTTGTTCGTATCAAGTAATACTTTGAAAACAGAAAATAAGACAATAACAATGGTAGGACAGAAGCAACAGATGAATTACCAATAACTACAAGAGTGTATGTTAATCTAATCGTTATTTGGTAACTTTACATGAAATGAAAAGAATGTTCCCTTCCTCCCTTCCACTCGACACAGTCATTACAGGTGGCTAATAATTAGTTGTCTAGTGCTTTTCGAACTACAATGGTAGGGATATGTTTAATATTGGGCTAGTCCTCTCCTATTGGGTTACTTTGGCATCTTCTCCCCAGGCTAGCTGAGCACCCTGAAATCCGGTTGCTTGAGAGAGGTGATTACAATTGATTACAATTGTTTGCACGTTGAAATTTCAAGGGTATGGAGGGCAGTTAAGTACTGCATGGAATTAGGCAGCTTTATGAGCTGCGGTGTGTCCACAAGTGCAAGTAACAAAGGCTCTGATGAAGGGATGGCCACGGTGTGCCAGTACTATTCTGTGTAACTTCTTCTGATAGCCTCAGGTTATGACTTGTAGATATCCGTAGCTTCTCCAGTGCAGTGAGATGCTCCAACCCTCCATACAAAGTCTTTAGTTTGTGGCAATCATGAATGATCAAGGATCGCAAGGAAGATGAGCAGCTATGGAGAATCACCCCAAATTCAGCCAAACTCTCCACCTCTTTATCATATTTAATGCGCAACTCAAATAGGCACTGAAAAGCCTCAACTAGCAGTGAGTTTAGCCAGGGCACATTGTCTGATTCCACTGCCCTTAATATCAGAACGTTACTACTATAACTATTACTTGAACTTCCAGGGTCAATTGACTGTGATGAAGAGGAATGTCAATGTTCAAACAGGAAGGAAATGAGGGATCGGAGGACTATCTGAAACTTCATGGCTTCTCATCAGCATCAGTCTTTCATTGAATGAATATACAGTCAGATCCTCTAGGATAGGACTCAGCGGAATCCATGTCAGTTCTGGGCATATGTCTATAACCAATGACTTCAATTGAGAAAGACGAACATCACCCACCTCCATCCCTGATTTCATCCATCCTTTCGACTTTGGCAAGTTTTTTAGCCAAAGTTGCTCTAGGGAGGGAAAATATAGTGGTTCTTCTGCAGTTAACAATCCAGACACAGAAGCCTGGGGATTATCTTCTTCTATATACTCCAATTTTTCTAATGATAAAAGCGAGAGCACCTTCAGATTTTGCAATTTGCCTATGCGTGGCACTTGCTCCAAGTCCTTGCAATCTTCAAGATGAAGCTTTACAAGATATGGGAGAGATTTTACCATGTTATTATCAATTGCCCAATCAGGCAGTTTCACACCACGGTATCCCAACATTTTTAACCCCTTGAGCTTCGAATGTGGCTGCAGCTCTTCCATCAATCGCAATCTTGCTTCCTCGTTAATTACTACTCTTCCATTAGCCTCCTCATGTATAAAATTAATCTAATGTGCTTGATGTGTTTCTTATTCCTAATACATTTACTACACTAATACACTTCTACCAGAACCTTCTTGCTTGACAGCATTAGTACCTTTTAGGGGCCACTTGATATGAATTTCAAGATCATTTTTCAGATTCAAGAGCCTTAGGTCATCCATCCCATCACACCATTGCTCCCAGCTTGAACCACTTCCTGCACCACCCACTATAAACTTACTTAGCGTGTGAAGGTAAGTCAGCTTACCCACGCCCCGAGGCATGAAAGTCAGGTTGTAGCAACCCCATGTATCTAAGATCCTAAGGTTAACTAATCTACTCAAGTGTTTTGGAAACACTTTTGAGTAAAAACATTCCCTTAGTTTTAGGATTTGTAGGGTGTACAGTTTTGTAATTGACCTAGGGAGTACGTCCAGTTCTCCATTAAATGAGAGGTCCAGATACCTTAAGTGCAACAAATTACCCATCGAGCTTGGCAAGCTTTTGATATTTAACTCAGACAGGTCCAATGCCCTTAAGCACTTGCAACTTGCTACTAAAGCCTTCACTGGTAGCAACTGCTCCATGTTGACAAATTGAAAATTGTCGTTAACATTAAGAAAGGAGCGAATATGGGTGTTATTGAAAGAGTAATTTGCAAATGAACTTCTATCAAAAGATAAATGGCGAACTTTTTTATCCAAATCATCAATGCTAACTGTTTTTGCAGAAATCTCCCCCTGTGTGACTTTTTGAGTAATCTCATGCATCAGATCATGTATCTTACATGAGTTGATCTCACCATCTTCATTCTTCTTAACGTCTTGGAAAAAAATCTCCGCAACAAAATTGAAAAATATTCCTCACCGGCATCCTCGATACTTTGGCCTTTATCTAATGGCACAATATAGCCCTGTGCCATCCAAAGGCTTATCAACATCTCTTTCCCTATCTCAAAATCTTTGGGAAACAATGCACAATAACTAAAGCAGCACTTTATTGGAGACTCAAGATGATGGTAACTCAACAACTGTATAGGTGTAATGTCATCATGAATCTCTCTGAAGTTGGCTAATCCAATATCTAGAAATGATTGCCACTTGCTCTCGTCTTGGCCAAACAGAAAACTTCCTACCACTCTTATAGCGAGAGGGTTTCGAGCACATCTCTCAGCAATCTCTTGTCCAATCTTGACCGAGTCCTCTGAGTGATTTAATTTTTCTGATCCAAAGCTGCATTTTGAAAAAACTTCCATGAATTTACCTTTGACAACCCTTACAATTCATACATTGGACCATCTCCTATAATTCTTGCTCTCTTTCGAACGTGTAGTCACCACAATCCTACTTCCACTTTGTCCTCCAATCAGATATCGCACTAGAGTATGTCATTGATCACAGTGCTCAGTCCAAACATCATCTAACACAAGCAAATATTTATTGCTTGCTAGTAGTTCTCGGAGCTGGTTCCGTACTGATTCTGGGGTGGAGCCTTCATTCTTCAGGCCAGTAGCTGAAACTAGAATCTTACCAAGAATCCCCTCTATATCCAATTGTTTATGATCTTGATCAGCAACACAAGTCCACAACCGTGATTTAAATGCTTTTCTGACTCTTTCATCATTATACACAAGTTGAGCCAGAGCAGTTTTTCCCAATCCTCCGATCTACAATAGTAATAAAAGAAAGTTCTTGTTGGACATTGGAATCCAGCAACATCTTTACAATGTTCTCCAAATCGTCCTCTCTTCCTATTATATCAACTGCATACACATAAGAGCAAGTCTCAGGCCTTCTCTTCCTAAGGCTCATGATCAATCTGAAATCTAAACTGATTGTTGTAAACTGCAGCATCCAACTTCTGCTTGATCTTCTTAACCCCTCTAGACATCTTATGAGCAACACCAACCTTCTTGAAAAAAGTGAAGAGACGTACCTTCTTGTCATTGTCTGATCTTCTTCTGCTCGATAAGAGTGATGAATTCATCAAGCAGATCATCTGCTTCATAAACTACATCCTCGAGTTCCTCAACATAGTGTTGCTCTTCATCAAGGAGCTCCTGCTTGGCCTCTGCCTTGTTGAGCACAGTTTAAATAGTGTGGACGGTGTTTTGGAGGTCATTAAGTAGTGATTTGTAGCCAAAAATTGAGCATATGTCTTTCAATTCTGAGCAATCCAGCGCTGCAAAGAGTGTTTGAGCAGCAGACAAAATTGTGCCGATGTCCATTTTTGTGTCAGAAGAACTTGGTTAAGATGCCAATTGCTTAACAATCTGGTTGACTGAACGTAATACCAATG